CCCCCACTCAGAGGCAGACTCAGTGCATGAGGACAGTTTTCCACACCCCTATGACTTCATCCCCAACCAATCTGTAGCACCCATTCCCTAGCCTGCTACCCACCAAATTTACCCATAAAAACCCTAACCTCTGAGTTCTCAGGAAGACTAGTTTGAATAATAACGCCAATCCTTCCACTTGGCTAGCTCTGCATTAATAAAACTCTTTCTCTACTGTAATACCATGATCTCAGTAAATTGGTTTTGTCTGTGCAGAAGGCAAGAAGAACCCATCAGGCAATTACAAAGTGACTGTAGGTTATTGTGCATAGAATAGAGCCTCCTTTCCACCTCTGCCACTCAGCTTCCTCCCCTCCTTCCTAGTAGTCTTTGTGTGGCCTTGAAGTAATTGGGTTTCAAGAGGACATTCAATCACCAATATTTATTGAGAGTCTACTCTATGCCAGGAGCTGGGCTAGGTACTGGGAACTTAATAAGACTAAGATGCCATCTCTGCCCTCTCAAAGTCTATTGTCTAAAGACAAAAGAAATGTCTTAAGGTTTGACTCACAAATATAAGGCAAAATTAGGCCTCATGATCAATGAGGATGAATTTCAAGTCCAAAATATTCACATTATGTTTAATATGTCCTAACAGCTATACGGGGCATCAGAGCATGTTTAGGGGCATGCAAACGTGTTTTGGAGTGATTTTCTATTCCAAATATGAAAACTCCCTAAAATAACTTGGTGTTTTGTACTAGCCTAGCCCTGCTCAATCAAAAATAGTAAATTAAAATGAAATGTCTTCTATTATTTTAGGAAATCTATTTAAGAAAAAAACCTAAATTCTGTTTCAGGTGTGCCTTTTGAATTTTATACCAGATGAATGTATGTTTTTTAAAAATTAAAGTGCAGATTTTTAAAAAGGGTGTGGATTTTTGAAACAGATTGAAGGTAGGCAGAGAAGAATAGGGCTCTTACCTCCAGCCACTGGCAGGAAGAAAGTCATCTGGGGTGTGGAGGAAAAGATCCCAGGGTAGAAGATAGGAGTCCCCAGATTCTAATACTGGATCCTCCATGACCAGTGTGGAATTTTGAGCCAGCGATTTCTCCCCACAGGTCTCAATTAAATCATCTGTCAAATGAGGATGACCTCATCTTCTCTACTTCACCCCTGAGCTGTGAAATGAACTAGAGGCCTTACCTTTTTTCCCTGAACTCCCAGTCAGCCCTGGAATACCAGTTTGAACATCACCTCCTTCAGGAAGCCCTTCTAGACTTTCCCAGCCAGTTAAGTTAGTGGCTCTGTCCTCTGGATTTCAAAGAGAAATGTCTCTAGCATCATCCCTGTTTCCTTGCATTGTTCTACTTCTTTTATTTTCTCCCAGAGCCAGGAGTGTCTTAAACAGGCTGAAATGCTCCCAACGGGCCACCAGTTCACAATTAGGAGTTCAATAAATACTTACTTAAGAGTGAATGAATGATATATGTGTCTTTGTCCACATTTGTACCTGCTTACATAATTCTGCAGAGAATCTAAATTTCTCTTTACATTAACAAACAGGGAGCCTGGGCACAGTGGCTCATGCCTGTAATCTCAGCATTTTTGTTAACCAGGACAGCCCTGATGAAATAACTGGGAAATTCCTTTTCTTACTGTTTTTCTTTAATGCCTTTATCTACAGGCACTGCTGCTTAAAGAAACCAGATGGTGCCAAAGCTTCTTGACCCCTGACCAGATGCCAGAGGAAGATAAGACACCACGAAACCAGCGCAAATGGGAATAGGCAAACCCTAGGTGCCTTCAGATCATGAACATATCATTATAATGCTAAAATTCCCTTCCCTAAAAGAAAAGCTCTGCCATTTTGTGTACATATGATGTATGAAGATGCATGTTTATGAACTGAGCCTGCGTGCCTGGAGTCCCAGCCTGCACATACTAACATTCTTTCCTGCCCCACACCGAGTCCTAAAATCCCCTTGCCTTTTATTGTTCAGGAGAAGATGCTTTTAGAGCAAGAGCTCACCTTCTGCATTCCTTGGCAAATGAATAAAACCTGATTGCCTTTTTCAGTGGGATATTCTTTGTTTGTGGCTGATACACAGTGGGGAAAAAACTCATTTTACCAGTGACATTTTGGGATACCCAGGCCAGAGGATCTGCTGAGGCCAGAAGTTTACAACCAGCCTGGGCAACAGAGCCAGACCCCATCTCTACAAAAACAAAAATATTGAAATTAGCCAGGTGTGCTGGCACACGCTTCAAGTTGTTCCACCTTTCTGGACAGAACCAACGTACATCTCAACTGTATTTGATATATCATGTCTCCCAAAAATGTATAAAACCAAGCTGTGCCCTGACCACCTTGGACATATGTCCTCAGGGTCTCCTGTGAGCTGTGTCAACGGCTATGGTTACTCATAGTTGGCTCAGAATAAAACTCCAACTATTTTACAGAGTTTGACTGTTTTCATTGACACAATGACAAAAAAACAAGTGGTCCTGGGATGTAAAATCATAGACAATACAAATATTTAGTGTTATTTTCTTGAAAATATGATTATCTTACAAAATTTTTCAATTCTATTGGGGACGTCAATTTTTTTTTTCTTTCCAGATGTGGTCTTGCTATATTGCTCAGGCTGGTCTTGAACTCCTGGCCTCAAGTGATCCCAGTGATCCCTACCTCAGCCTACCAAATAGCCAGGACTACAGGCACTTCTTTCTTCTTCCTTTTTTTTTTTTTTTTTGAAATGGAGTCTCTCCCTCTGTTGCCCAGGTTGGAGTGTAGTGCAATCTCACTTCACTGCAACATCCGCCTCCCAGGTTCATGCTATTCTCTTACCTCAGCCTCCTGAGTAGCTGGGATTACAGGTGTGTGCCACTATGCCCCGCTAATCTTTGTATTTTTAGTATAAACAGGGTTTCACCATGTTGGCCAGGCTGGTCTCCAACTCCTGACCTCAAGTGATCCAACTTCCTTGGCCTCCCAAAGTGCTGGGATCACAGGCGTGAGCCACAATGCCCAGCTACCATGCCCCCCACCCTTTTTTTTTTTTTTTTTTTTGAGGCCAAGTCTTGCTCTGTCACCAAGGCCGGAGTGCAGTGGCACCATCTCGGCTCACTGAAACCTCCACCTCCCAGGTTCAAATGATTCTCTAGCTTCAAGCTCCCAAGTAGCTGAGACTACAGGAGTGTGCCACCACTCCCGGCTAATTTTGGTATTTTTAGTAGAGACAGGGTTTTGCCACATTGGCCAAGCTGGTCTTGAACTCCTGACCTCAGACAATCCCCAGCCCCCCAGCCCCCACAAAGTGCTGAGATTACAGGTGTGAGCCACCATACCTGGCCAGAAATGTGGCTTTTTAAGTTGTCTGGCAGGCATAGAACTCACTATAGTCTCTGTGATTTGTTTTACTTGTTAGCTAGTACCTGACTCTTTAAAATGCCTTAAAATGCTCAAAAGACATTTGCCAAAGGAATGAGTGATCTGCTTAATGCTTTAAATGAAGCAAGATAAATTCAACCCTTCATGGGCTCTTTCCAGGACTCAACAAAAACATTTATGTGGGCTAAGGGCACCTGTAATCCCAGCACTTTGGAAGGGCGATCATCTGAGGTCAAGAGTTTGAGACCTGCATGGCCAACGTGGTGAATCCCCATTTCTATTAAAAAAAAAAAAAAAAAAAAAAAAAAAAAATTAGCTGGGCGTGGTGGCAGGACCCTGTAATCTCATCTACTCAGGAAGCTGAGGCAGGAGAATCGCTTGAACTGGAAAGGTGGAGGCTGCAGTGAGCTGAGATCACGACATTGCACTCTAGCCTGGGTTACAAGAGCGAAACTCCATTTCAAAAAAGAAAAAAGGAAAAGAGCACTTAGGGAGGCTTAGGTGGGAGGATCGCCTGAGGTCAAGAGTTCAAGACCTGCCTGCCCAACATTATGAAACCCCGTGTCTACTGAAGAAAAAAAAAAAAAAAGCAAAAATTAGCCAGGTGTGGTGGGACGTGCCTGTAATCCCAGCTACTCGGGAGGCTGAGGCAGGAGAATCGCTTGAACCGGGAGGAGGAGGTTTCAGTGTGCTGGGATCGCGCCACTGCACTCCTGCCTGGGCGACAGAGCAAGACTCCCTCTCAAAAAGAAAAAAAGGAAAGAAAAGGGCCAGGTGCGGTGACTCACGCCTGTAATCCCAGCACTTTGGGAGGCCGAGGCAGGTGGATCACCTGAGGTCAGGAGTTCCAAACCAGCCTGGCCAACATGGAGAAATCCCGTCTCTACTAAAAACACAAAAATTAGCCAGGCATGGTGGCGCGCCCCTGTAATCCCATCTACTCAGGAAGCTGAGGCAGGAGAATCGTTTGCAGCGGAAGGCAGAGGTTGCAGTGAGCCGAGATAGCGCCACTGCTCTCCAGCCTGGGCGACAAGTGCAAAACTACGTCTCAACAACAACAACAAAAATCCACTTGTACCTGCTGCTAATCAGTGTATATTCAGGGCAACTTGATCTATGCTCCTGGTCTGCAATCCTCAAGCTCGGCCCAAATAAACTCTCTACCTGCATTAATTTTGCCCCATCTTCTACCTTTTAGGTCGACATATCCATATCTGAGATCTAGAGTAATTTTCGGGGTTCCTCGCCTCCCCTTTTCCCCCAGGCTTTTCTGTGCTTTCTAAAGGCGTCCGGCCCTGCGTTTCCACATCCCACAGAGGTGTTTTCGTTCTGTGGCCCCGGGCCCTGAAAGATAAGCTCTGGGCCGGCACTTCGGCGGTCTCCAGCCTTAGTCTGGAAGGAGCTGGGCAAGCGAGCTACACAGCCCAGAACTCAGGCCCCAAACGTTTTAGCTCAGGGAAAGGAAGCGGGCCGGGGCTCAAGCCCGCAAGCTCCACTGCGCAGCGGTGGACACCGCCCCACAGCGTTAGGATGTGGGACCTGACAACGCCGGAACCCGGCGCCGGGAGCGTGTGCGCGGCGGAGCGGAATGGCTAACGTACCGTCCTGACGCGAGGCCCGCGTAGAGGCGGAAGTTGAAGGGACTGACGCAGATGGGGGAAGTTTGCCTCGACGGCACTTTCCTGTCTGCGACTCCTCCCCCGCCAGAGGGGCTAGGCTCTGGCATTCAAGATGGAGTCGCTGAGTCGGGCTGGGCAGGAGATGAGCCTGGCGGCCCTGAAGCAACACGACCCCTACATCACCAGCATCGCAGACCTCACGGGCCAGGTCGCTCTGTACACCTTCTGCCCCAAGGCCAACCAGTGGGTAAGTGCCGCCTGGCCTCTGAGGACGCCCGCCCGGCCGCTGCCGCCTCTTAAAGGGCCCGCGCGGGTTGCTGCTGTGGGGTTGGGGCTAAAGCAAGAGGCCAGGGCGGCAGAGTCGAGGCCAGGGACTGGTGAAGAGCCGAGCCAGAGCCTGAGGTGTCGGGTCCTACTGGGATTGAGGGATAGGAGTGAGAGAAGTGGCTCGAGACATCCCAAGGAAAAGCCGATGGAGGGAGGATTGGAGCAGGATCAGTCCCTTGGTGTCGGGTCTAGGGACGTGGGCGATCTGCCTTCTTTGCAGTCACTTTGGGGGTTATGAGACCGGTGGGGTCGGAAAGGTGCCTGAAAGCTTGTGTTTGAGGCTTTGCGGATTATTAGATAAATTATATGTACATGATCTATAAAATAAACACTCCTCCTCTCCCCCCAGCAAACGTGAATGAGAGCCCCTTTCGCAGAGGTCATTTGGATTAAAGCTTGAAATCCAATTAGTTTCAATTCTTGGAAGAGAGGCGGGTAGGGTGGGTCCGGCTTTAATCTAACTACACGGAGTTTCGGAAAAGATTTCAAGGCACTTAGGAAAAGGGCTTCCATGGTCACTGGATCCCCGAAGACCTTTTTACAGGCAAGAGAGACCCTGTAAATGTGTTTTGTTCCACCTATGATGCTGGTGATGTCATCTCTGAATGCTCCCCTCAGACTCAGTACTTTTTGGCTTTCGTGCACTCGAGAGGGTCCGAAAGTTACATTTAGTCTATTCACTGACTTTTGTAAGCCCCTGCTTGAAGCTTTGTTACTTGTTTAAATAGCATAATTTCCTACTTTCTTGTAATTGATCCTTCCTAATTAACTCATTCAGTTACAGCCTCTACACTTAGAAAATAATCCGTAGATGTTTGTTGGGTTGAATTCACCAGTGGCTGGAGTTCACATTTCAATAAGATATGAAATCCTTAAACTAACAAAACTCTGGAAGATGATCGTAGTATGTCGTTTACCCTATAATACAGATGCCTAGATTATATTTATCAGTAATTTTTTGAAAATCATTTGGCATTTATAAAACAGTTAATTCCGATCAAGAGAGTTTTTATAATCACATTGTTTATCTTTCCTTTGCCTCCTGGAAGAGAAAGAGATACAGGAGGCGACAAGGAATAAAATTGTAGATTTTTTTAAATTGTAGCTATTTTAGACATTGCCTTAGTTTGAAATTTTTATGAATCTTTTTCTTTTCTTGGCCTATATATAAATTTGTGAAATATGGATTGCAGACAAACGGTGAAGACTTGGGGCTAGGACTTTTTACTAAAAAGTTTTTCTAGTTTTTCACAAAGGCTTTCAACATTTTAAAATTTTACGTTGTGGAATTCTGTTTTAAATATGAAATACAAGCTATGATAACCTGAATTGAAAAATAAGCTGCTACTGTTTATATGGATCCAGGCACATACAGCACAACAAAATCTTTTCTCTATTTATTATTTTACAGTGAGTTGTAACTTTGCATTTTGTTTTTTGGTGGGCAAATTTTCTTTTACTGTAAGACAGTTGATTACCAGTTTCTTACAGTAATAGCCTAACATTTTAAAGGTAAGAAAAAGCCTCTGAATCCTTAGGAAGGAAAATGATATTTAAGCTAGGGTAGTACCTCTGGAAGAAATCAAGATGATCAATTTCCTAAATTTTTTAATCCCAACAAATTCAATATGATATGACTAACGTTTAAAATTTTAATAGTATGTTGATTACAGTAAAATATTTAGGTCCATTGTAGGCTGTAAATTGCAGACTAAGGTTTTTTATTTTTAAAAAAAAACATTGAACTGTGGTTAAAACCTAAAGACACTCTTGTCACAGCAAATGAACTATGGTAAAGGCCTCCAATAATTATGCTGAGGCAGGGTATACTTTCAGTTTTCATGATTTTTCAATAAGTTCTAAAAATAACAAGCTGATTCTGTTTGGTAGTAATTCTTAACCACAAAATTTGCTAGTTGCAAAAATGTACCAAAACTCCCCAGTGATGAGACAAAGTATCCTATAAGAAAATTTTTCTTTCTTTTTTTCTTTTTTTGAGACAGAGTCTTGCTCTGTTGTGCCAGGCTGGAGTACAATGGCATGATCCCAGCTCACTGCAACCTCGGCCTTCCAGGTTCAAGTGATTCTTCTGCCTCAGCCTTCCAGGTAGCTGGGACTACAGGCATGTGCCACCACGCCTGCCTAATTTTTTTGTGGGGGTTTTTTTATTTTATTTTATTTTTTTTTTTTTTTT